CATTCGTGAAATTATTTAGTCATTTGTGGAGGGACTAACACCAACCACAATCATGCAATCCACTGATATCATTGTATATTATTGGAAAAAAAAAAAAGGAAAAAAGAGAATAAAACCATACTTGTCCTTTTATATGTATTTTAGAAATGGAATCGAGCGTTTAGCAATTGTTTCTAGAAAGTTAAAATTCGGCACTAAGGTTAACTGATAATTATTTAAGAGAATTTAATTTTGTCCATGTTCAATTAATTACTATACATACATACATATATATATATATATATATTCTGTTTAATTTGTAACTCATGTTAGTGAAATGTATAATCTCCATCATGAAGAATTGACAGACTTTAAATTATCTCACCTAACCAGTCATTTTTGCTTAAATTGAATTGATACTAAAATTTATATGCCCATAATTTTATTATATAATTATATAATAATACTTTACAATGTTTATATGATATTAAATAAATAAATTTATATTGATGCACACATTTTATGTAGTCGTAAAATTTTATTGTGCATGAGATAACATTTTTGAATGACTTATTTTGTAATGTAACAAATTTTTTTATGCATAGTAATGTAACAATGTTGCTCTTAACACAAAAACAAAATGATTTATTTTTTCTGATAAACAAATTGAATATTTTGAAAAAAGAATAGGCTAGTAAAATTTATAAAATATACCTCCAAAAGAAGGGTACCACTTAGAGGTAGTTTTCTTGTTCTGCCTTTAACCGCTTGCGTGTAAGGGAATTTTTGGTACTCAGAAAATAGTTTTGAGGAGTAGAAAAATGATAACATGGCAGGCACTGGCACTGCTCTCCCAATCACAAATCACAATGAAACAATTTGTCCTTTCACAACACTGTAGTCATAATCGTCTAGCTTATTCCGGAATATTCTTTCAGTTAGAAACAAAAAAGAAGAGGATTAATTTGAAAAAATGATTATTGTTTTCTTGAATTATATTGTATGTATAATAACTTATATATAAATGTTCATAAAAATAATATTTTAAGGTATAAAATACACAACAAAAATATTTTAAGGTATAAAATATTTGGACCATGATTGGTGCACACCTGGATTCAACACCCGGGTGTGCACCCCCCATAGAAAAAAAAAGAAATGGACTGGTTGTGAACCCATTTTTTTTTTTATGCAGAGTGTGCACACCTAGGTGTTGGATTCGGGTGTGTACACATCATTTTCCAAAATATTTACAATAAATGTGTTCATATCTTAACATCCTCCTTTAAACTCAAGGTGATTGTGATGAAAGCAACTTGAGTTTGGAAAGAAGAATACGAAAGCATCTAGGAAAATGAGTCTTGGTGAAGAGGTTTGCTAGTTGATCCGCGGAGCTAATGAAAACCAAATGAACAATTCCTTGTGCAACATGATGGTGAACAAAATGACAGTCAACCTCAATGTGTTTAGTGCGTTCATGGAAGATATCATTATGAGCAATCTGTATGGCGCCTTGATTGTCATAGTAAAGATTAGTAGTAGGTCGTTGAGGAACACCTATATCTTCTAGTAGCCAATGTAAGTTAAGTAACTTTGATGTGATGTCTCCAAGTGTTTGATATTCAGTCTCTGTGCTAGAACATTATGAAATTGTCTTCTTCTAGTTACGCCAAGAGATTAAGGAATCACCAAGAAAAAGATAATATCCAATGGTGGATTTACGATCATTAGAGTCTCCAGCCCAATCAGTGTTAGAATAAGCACGAAGTTCAAAAGATGAACAAGCAGAAAAGTGAAGTCCATGAGACAATGTTCCCTTAACATAGCGAATAATGCAAAGTATTGTTGCATAATGAGTGGAGCGAGGAGCAGCCATAAATTGACTAATAATGTGAACTGCATATCCTATGTCAAGGTGTGTTGTGGTAAGGTAAACCAAACTACCAATCAATTGTCGATAGTGAGTAGGATTAGAAAGTGGAGAGCCATCTAATGGCGGAGCTAGGAATTTTGGTTACAGGGGCCGGCTTTTCAAGTCTTAAAATAATGCATTGTAATTTTGAAAACTTACTTTTATATCATAAATTAAAATAATACTTGACGAGTTTTCATGTCATAAAATCTATTTATAATAGAATCTACACTAAATGACTGAACTATTTTATTTTCAATATAAATAATCAAAGAGTTTGGAAGGAATTCATCCTCCAATTTGCTACGAAGTTTTGTTTTCACAATTTTCATGACAGAAAATGCTCTTTTTGTTGTTGCAATTCTAATCCATTAGCCATTTTCTTGTTCATCTCAATCTCAAATTTGAATAGGAGATCTAAAATTTGAACTTGTATGGAGGTAGCAATTGACAACATAAAACCTTTACGCACTTAATTAGTTATCAAGATTCCTAAAATAGTATATAAGTATGTAGTGGTAGAGTATGTAATTATCTGAGTTATCAGTTATCTCTAATTCTCTAGTGGAAGAGATTCTACACCTCCACAAGTGAGGTTGGCAAATACGAAATACGACAACATCCTATGTCTTCACCCTACCACTTTCTATTATCAAACAATTTTTTTTTCCTTTTTACAAGTTAATTACACTTTATATTAGTTTATCTTTTTTTTATACTAATTTATCTTCTTATTGCTTTTCTCTATATGACTATATCCAAGGTTTTACCTTTTATTGAGTTCATATATGTTTCCTTTATGGATCTATACTTTCTTTTCAATTTTTTTTACTCAGATCCAATTCTATTCCATATAACTTCAATATTATCATAATATTCAATTTTATTTGTAATATCAACAACTCTAAATCCTAAAAAGAAATTATACAATTTTTTGTGATAATAAAAAATCAATAAGTTTCATTACTTAAATATTACTTCTTCCATATTAGAATAATAGATTTTTTGTTTTATCTTCAAATGAAGGATTTGAAAACAATTTCTATCTTTTCCTTAAAAACAATTGCTTGCATCGGGTTGCCAGCGAAGTCTCTTTTTTCTCTTTTTTCTATTTTTGAAGTTGTTGGGTTGAGATTAAAGCAGATTAACACTGGCACAGTAGGGCTGGATATCAGAGAAATGGCGTAGAAAACATCAATAACTGTTTTTCTTCTCTTTTTTTTTTTTCTTCTTTTTCTACATAATTCAGTTGTGGCACTGCACAGCAGGGCTAGATATTGGAGAAATGGTGTAGAAGACACCAAAACTTGTTTTTCTTCTCTCTCTCTCTCTCTCTTTTCTTTTTCTTTTTTTACATAATTCAGCTGTTGGGCTTGAGATGAGTGAGTTTTAAATAATAATAAATAGTTAAATTGTTAAAATGGATGATGGGTTATATAGATTATATTTGGACTTCTAAAACAACTACCCATTATTATTGGATCTTTTTTTATTTTATGTATTTTAACAATTAAAAATATAATATTTAAAATTTTAATAATAATAATAATTAATTATATATATTTCAAATCCCAAGGGGGGCCACCACCCCCCTGTCTATATATAGCTCCACCCTTGAAGCCATCAATAGGTGTAAGCTTGACATTAGGTTCAATAGGTGTAGAAACACTCTTGCTATCATTAAGTTCAGCTTTAGAAACAAGATCGGAGGCATACTTTACTTGAGAAAGCTAGTTGCCATCATCTGAAGAGGTGATTTCATGCCTCAGAAAATAGCTCAGAACACCAAGATCTTTCATCTCAAATTTCTAACTAAGAGATTGTTTTAGCTCCTCAACACTTGCAATATCATCTCTAGCAATAATCATGTTGTCAACATAAAGAAGTAAAAGAACCATATCTAGAGCAGTTTTACAAATGATCAGAGTTGTATCATATGGACTCGAAGTAAACCCGAACTCACTCACAATAGCAATAAACTTTGCATATCAGGCTCGAGGGGATTGTTTCAACTCGTATAATGCACGTCGCAATCGGCATATCTTGTTTGGAGGATGGTTGAGCCTAGGAGGTTGTTTCATATAAACTTCTTCTTTTAGGTCACCATTAAGAAAAGCATTTTTCACATTCATCTGAAACAATTTCCATCTCCATATAGTAGCGATATCAAGCAAACTATGAACAAATGTGAGACAAGCAACTGGAACAAATGTTTCCTTATAGTTTATTCCATACTCCTATGTAAAACCCTTGACAACCAAGTGTGCCTTATAACACTCCACAGAACAATCAGATCGTGTTTTGATCATGTACACCCATTTATACCCTATTAGAGACTTTTCAACAAGGAGATCAATTAAATCTCATATACGAG